GGAAAGCACTCACCCAAAGTTACACAGCAAGTGCACGACCAGCCTTAATATCTGTCCTCTTTACTATCATACTGCATGATAAATATTGGTCAAATTTATTCTAAAAATAATAAATATTAAATATGATTTTTGAATAATATTGAATGGTAAGTCGAATTAGACAAAGCATTCAAGTATCGTTTTTTATTGAATCTTGCATTTTTTTGTGTCTCTTATTTTTTCATCCTGGCAACCTTTTCTTTCTTTGCAAAGATTGAGTTGTAATTTTTATGTATTTTCTCTATTGTTAAATCTGATAGAACATTTAATTTTCTTCACATCAATCTTGTTTTGAAACAACTGATTGTAAACTATAGTTATACACTATGTCACCATGGGGGGGAAACTGGGTAAAGTGTATATGGGATCTTTCTGTATTATTTTTACAACTGTAGGTAAATCTACAATTATCTCAAAATAAAAGGTTATTTTAAAAACTATTGTTTTGAGGCTGGCTGTTTAGTTCAGTTGGCTAGAGCACAGCCATGTAACACCAACGTCACGGGTTTGGATCCCCATACTGGCCAGCTGCCAAAAAACAAACAAAAAACTATTTGTATTAATTCATTTCAATTTTAAATCACTATATCAACTAAGGTATTTCATGTATTTTTCAGAAGTTTTTCTTTATTTGTGTGTGAGCACATGCTGATCTGCGGAGACAATCTCAGCTCTGATTTTCAGTCTTTCAGAGTAGTATACATAAGCACACTGAGAATGTTTTGGGTTATTTAAATCTTCTTAAAATATATACACTTTTCCAATAAATTACACAATTGAACCAAACAAAAACACACACTCATAAATTTAATCTTTTATTGACATTTCAGATCAATCAATATCTGTTCTTTACCTTAAATAGTAACTAAAATATTTCCTCTGATAGAGGCCTGTCCTGGAATTACCTGTATTGCTTTCTCGTGTCATGCCCAACTGCATTGGTCTCCCAAATCTTGGTAGCCAGAACTCTAACTGTATTCAGAAACAGAATAAAATTCAGCTGGAAGAGAAGGTAATATTACAAGGAATTATTAAATTAGTCTTCAAGATGCTTATAAAAATTTACAAAAATTGAACTTTGTATTCGAAGACCAAAAGTTACCCATTCCATTAAAGTGAATAAGAATATCTGAGATAAGACAGAAGGCTAGTGATTCTTGATGCCCTCATAAAAACACAAAGAAAAATAAAAATTTCAATAGCACTGGAAACCAGAAATGCCAGATGATAATCTGCCAGTATCCACAGGGAATTTCCAAACCAAAGTTCGGATGAAGCCCTGTAACAGACTGGAAGACAAAGACTAATAATTATTATATAAATGTAACTGACTGTCCTTTTTGAAATGAATTCTCAGCTTCCGTCTCTATTTTTAGATAGAGGAATAATAAAATTGTTTTGAGGATTCTGTCTCTGCTGTGATGTATGAAAAGTATTGAGCGAAGTATACTACGGTTTAAAAAAAAAAA